TAAGGAGACACAGAGAAAAGGAAGCAACCTGAAGTATAAATACCTGCTCAGTAACTTAACATGACAATGGGAGCTCCAACAAGTGGAGGAGCTGTGAAAGAGACAAACTTTAGCCTCTGTAACTCACAGGGGGTGGGGGGATGGGGGGGGAGACCTTGAATGAGATGGATGGACTCTGACTGGAGTAATGGGGGTAGATGTGTCAGAAATGGTGAGGTTGGTTCAGATAGAGCAGGGTTCAGAGCTATTGTACATGAGGTCACTATGAGTCGCAGGTGACACATAACAACAATAACCAGCTCAGCACCTTTGAATCATTTCCACTCATAACAACCTTCCATTAGGTTTCTGAGGCTGTTACAGGAGACTGTTCATCTTTCTCCTGTGGAGCAGCTGGTGGATCTCTTAGTTAGCAATCCAATACCAAAGAGCTATGACGCCAGAGCTCTTATTCTGCAATAAAAAAGTGAGGTCATTTCCTAAAGAGTTATTACTAGCAGTGAGACTTTGAATTTATATGATACAGAAAGTATTTAATGAACTTCAAAACAAACTGCCAACAAAGTTAAAGCAAACCTTTATAAATTATGCATTTATACACAGAGTCATCTGCATACAAAAAATGAGCTGAATTGTAATTCATGACATTTCCATAATTAATTAAAGTTAAACAGAATGCACTGCCCCACCCGAGATACATTTTCAGAGGAGCTACTCTGACTGGTCAGGGAAAAACAAAATTATATGTTAAAACACCGAAAAAGGTAGATAGAATAAAATTCTTTGTCATGTCACTGAGGAGTGATCCAAAATGTGAAAAATAAAATGTAAGCTTCCAGTAGTTATAAGGTGGAATCAAGAAGAATTTGAGTTTCCTGGGCTCACAGTTCTCTTTCCTAATTTCTCTTTCAAAAAATACCCAACTTGCTACTTCCTCACTTTTTCCTCCCTAAAACAATGAAAGTGATTTTTAAAATCTTAGCTAGAGGATAGTAATGTTAGGAAATAGCTCTCTTGCAGGTTATTTGTAGCTTATAAAGTAGATGTTATTGTATTCTCCATCTCCTCAGAATATTACTGTAGCTAAACTCTAATTCCATACTGCCAGTAATACCAACTTTGTTTCATTAAAATGAATTCCGGATGTAAAATATCTTGGCATTCTCCTTTTTTATTACCAGAAAATAAAACAGCAATTTCTTCAACAGAGAAAAGCTACAAGCATGGGATTGATCTGCAGCCACTTTTTACTACAGACTCCAGAATGCTTTGCGTTACTGGCCTACAATCCCCATACTGCAGCACCAAGCTTACTGTTAACCACTCAGTTACTGGAAAAGATAAGGAACAGGATGTTTGATAACTCTCTAACATGCCAGGATTTTACTTGAGTAATCAGTGTTTGGGTTGTTTGTGGTGTGTTTTTTCTCCCCAGTGTTTTGAAGTATGTTTTGTCTTTACTAAGGTAAAGAAGAAGAAGGGGGGGGGGGTAAAAGCTCTATCTACAGATGCATATATCAAATTATGGACATAATGTTGTATATTCTCAATGTGTTAATGTTTATACTTCCCATGTCAAAATCCTTTTCTTAGACCCATCATTGAGTTTTGTAGTTACCTTTCACCCCCTTTGGAGAGAGGTCAACTTTATTCTGATTTTAAAATAACATCACAATACATTGCTTAATGCTCTAAACATCTGCAAAAGAGACTTTGGTGAGGTAATTACAATTCCTAATTAGATGCACCTTGCAGCTGTTGTTCGTTCTAATTGGCAATAAACGGCTACTTTTGTTCTGACACATATCTTGTGAAGAGTTAGAGAACTGAAGGGAAGCAAAAGGAAAGCGTTCCCACACAGTTCAAGACAGTTTGCACAAAGAGGATCCCATGGCAACAAACAGGCCCACAGTTGGCTCTGTAAGATCCAGGAATAGACAGTGCTTCACCTCGGATTCAAACAAACCCTTCCCTTCTTCGATCTGAAGAGTTTGAAAACATGTCTTGCAATGATCATATGTTCACCTGTGTCTTTAAGACATTTCTCAGAGCTTATGAATGTTCTCTGCAGTCCGTGTCAAAGAAACACGTATAACCTCTGCTCTGTGTTCAGTAGCAAATTGACTTGCAGAAGCTCTTAGAACAGAGGGCTTGATTTTTGGCACAATGTGGAGTTAGAATGGGCTTTGGCTCTTAGTTGGTTTCAGTCTCTTATTTTACATACAAGGAAAGTGAGGCCAAGGGAAAAGAAAGTCAGCCCTTTTGGGTAATTATGACCATTTAGGAACTCACAGCAGCAACAACAGGAGTAGAAATTAGACTTAACTTCTAGGATTGCAGTCTAGAGTGGAGAATTTTTATTTCCAAACCTTGGTAAAAAAAATAATAAAAGCTCACTGCTTACCAGTCCATTCGGACTCATAACAACCTTCTCTCGAGTCCCGGGGAGGCTCTACATCTTCCCAAGAGGAGATGTCCCACCTTTCAGCTGGAGAGTAGTAGGTAGATTTGAATCCCTGACCTTTCATTTCATAGCTTCATTCCTCATTCACTAAAACAGTGTGTTTCGAATTAAACCTGTTAATAGTGTGCTCCCTCCACACCAGAAACTAGAGAGCCAGGTCTGTGCATACATGGGTTAGCTTAGAAAGGACTGCAATAGAAAGTAGAAAATGATGACCAACCCCATTTATGAGGCCTGAGGATGTATTTGCCTTTCACCTCTGGGTCTCAGTTTACTCTGGATTGTAAATGGTAAATGCAAGGGAAAGAACAAGTAGAAAAGAAGCCTTGGCATCAAGATTAATATGGATAAATTGCCTCTAGAGGAAACTACCTAGTGAGGGACATGATTAAGCACTTGATCTCTGGTTTGAAATGCTGTGAGTTATTTAAGATGGAAACATTTGTTGTTGTTGTTCTTTATTTTTTTTTCTTCTGGGAAACCACTTAAAACTTGCCTTCTGTCTTTTAATCAGCTCTTATCTGACCTTTGATTGGAAAGTTCTTCCTTTAAGAGTAAAAAGAGCCCTGATGGCAAAGTGGGTTACCGTTTGGCTTTTAACAGGAAGGTTGGTGGGTTTAAATCCACCAGTCACTTACCACGGGAGAAAGATGAGGCAGGTTTGCTCCTGATAAGATTTACCTCTTTGGGAACCTGAGGTGACCACACAAGAGCTTGGATTTCCATTCAAACGACATACATTTGCCTTTTCCCAGTCAAGTCCGTCCTCACTTTCACCTCTGCCCCAAATTGAACTTGTGTTCATTTTGCTCACATTCTGCCTACTTTCTTCAAGTGTTTCTTTAACCTTCAATTCCTGTTTTCGTCGCGCCCCCCCCCCAATTAAATGAAGTTCTTAAAGGGCTGGCTGCTTTCCCTCTCCGTTGTGCCTCATTTTGCTGTACCCCCTTAAGCTCTCCATGACAAAAGCTGGAATGCATTGTCTAACTAGTGGAGGTTGTCCTGAATGGGGTTTACAGGTAGTGTCTCGGAGAGGAGGAAGGATGAGGGGGAGGCGGGGGGAGTCGGGGGTAATGTGCCTCTGCCCTTTATCTGTCCTGCCAAAACCTTTTCTAGAATTTAATACTAAAATCGCAGTGTAAATAGTAGTAATTCCCCAGAGTCTTGCACTCCAGATGTGTGTGGGCTAGGGACCTGCACTATTGGCCCTCCCAGGGACCAGATTAGAAATGCGGATTCTCAGGACCCGCGCTAACCCTCCTAAACTAGTATTTGCATTAGAACCTAGCGCCCTGAGATCATGCGCACTTTAAAGTTTGAAAGGCACAGCCTCACCAGTGAGTGTTATGCTATATCCCAGGGTAGAGCTTTCATATTTATTTTACCAGTAAGGACTTCCCCCACCACACACACCTCCCCTTTCCCACCACAGTTCCATCTCAGAAAAACCGCAGCAAACTGTTACGTAGGAACACGGTGGATAGGAGGAGGATCCTATTCAAGCCCCTCATCTTTCGCCCTCCTCCCCTCCATTGTCCACCCACACTCACACCCACGCACAGCGAGCCTTCCCAGAGCACCCGCTTCCCAAGCTCAACTCCGGAAAGACGCTGCTCCTCCCCTGGCCAAGCCAGTCGCTGCTCCAGGCGTACTTCCCAGAGGACTTGCAGATTACATACCAATACAGAGACATGCTCTTGGGGGAAAAAAAAAAATTGAAAAAATTGTCCTTTGGAAACAAGTATCACCTTGCCACCTGAGGTATAGAGTAGTCGCCCCCCCCCCCTTTCGTTGAAATCCAGTTTAAACTGATGGTCAGAGTGGCTGTGTGTGTGTGTGTGTGTGTGTGTGTGCGCGTGTGCGTGTGCGCGCGCGCGCGCGCTATTGAGCTCCAAATATGCTCTCAAAGAGGTTATTATGAGTGTGTCAGCCTAGGCATCGCTCTCTGTACCTTTCCACTGCTTTGAGAATTGGAACCCTCGTCCTACGGTGGCAAACCTAAGATTTAACTTCCAAGTACGCCAGTCCAAGTTTGCCTGGAAGTGCAGGTTTCCGTTGTTCCAGGCTACCCAGGATTCTTTCCAAAAGATTCCCCAGCTACCCTCCTTCCTGTCCGGGCTTCTGAAAACTAAAACTCGCAAAGCAGTGGCTGGCTGTGGATTGGCTAGTACTAAAATATCCATTGGGTGGCAGTAACACTATCCTCTTTATGACTTGCAGCAAACCAGAGAATGCATTCAATCAAATGAACCGATCTTGTAGAAACACTGGAATCATTTATGCATTGCAGTTTTTCTTTCTGGCTTTCGCTCCTTCTTCCCTGGGATATTTTGAGTGGATTGTGGCTATTAATCAAGATTTCGGGTTGTTCGTGGGTTGCTTGTCATTTTCGCTCGGGATTAGCATCACTAAAGGCAAGCGCAAAGCTACTCCCCCCCCCTTTTTTTTGAAAAAATTCTTTTTTGGGGGCTGCTGGAGAGAGCTAGGACCCAGGAGACACCCTTCCAAACAGCAGGGGTTGTGTGCTTTCACATAGCAGTACAGTACAAGGAAAACCCCGTCGGATCTGTTATTGCGGGATACTTGTGAAATATACATAGGATTCTTTCTTATGGCTGCATCCCGGATCTGGAAATTTTACTTGGGGACCAGGAGGATCTGAAAGGCTACATGTATTCAGAAGATTTCCTAGCAAGATTCCGATTCTTGGCATAGGGCTCACACACTTCCTCAGTTATCTGCCTTTTTCCTTCCTTTTAAAAAAAAAAAAAATTTAAAAATTCCCTCTTTTTCTGCTCTCTTTCAGTCTCTCCATTTCTATCTGCCTCTTCTTTTGCTTCTAGTCTTTTTCTCCCCCTGCTCTGCACCTGGATTGTATCTTCAGCAAACAATCGGGCACTTTGAGAACTAACTGGAGACAGTCTTGTAGGGAAGATCTATATGGAATTATCAGCTTTTATGGTGAACTTGGCATTTGTGAATGGGTATCTTGTTCACAATATTAATTGCTAGCAAACACAAGCAAAAGAACACAGGAGTAAAACGTGGATTTTTCTGAATACGCATTGTGATGACCAGCAATTACCTTACCGACTGATATCCAGAGGAGAATAATTTGGAAGACTGTCGTGGGTAAGGTCATTTTCTATCTCTACAAACCCATCAGTGGTGTGAGCAAACTTGGGCGTTTATAATGAGAATGGGCGACTTGGATGATTGCTGCATAGCATTGATGGCTGTGATGTGGCCGTTATTGGCACTGAATGGAATAACTGCAGTTGGGTGGGTTGGGGTGTGTGTGTGTGTGTGTGTGTGTGTGTGTGTGTGTGTGTGTTCGTTCTGAGTGTAATTGGAAAGAAAGCATCACTCTCCCCAAAACCCCAATTATTTTTTATATGGAAGAGTGTCTTGAATTAATTCAGGGTAGCACTCTTTGTTTGGATGCAATTTTTGTGGCTCCTCTGCCCTGGAAGAGATAGCAGTGGTGAAAGGAACACTTAGTGAGGAGCCCTATTTAAAATGAAGTGAGCTACTCTTTATTCATTAAAAGAAATATGCTTTCAACTCAGTGCAGCATTCTGCTGCATTTCACAGCCGCAATGGGACCAGGGACATCCTACTTGTCAAGTTCTTAAACTTTAAGGTGATAATCATTGTTAATTGTTCTCCAGGTTGTGATTATTGAAGATTATTAAGAACCTGGGGTTCCTTTTTTTTTCCAATCCACTGGATTATCATTCCCTGTTTGGGGGGGGGTAGAAAGGAAAAGAGAAGGAAGAGCTGGAAAGGGTGACTGAAATAGAGAGAAACCAGGCAATGTTATCTTAAATATCACCGGTGCTTTCTTTATCAAGTTCAGTTGCCCAATAATGCCATTATTTACCCTAAATCCTAAATAGCTGAAGCTGCGACCCACGTGCAAGGGAGTCAAAGGTCTGGAAGCGGAGCCCATCCTTTCATTGCATTGCAGCCAGCTTGGGAAATACAGGCAATTACACACTTGCCTTAACCTTAAGTTGGAGATGTGTCTTACCTGCTTCATCTGTTTTACCCTTTTGGTAAAAAGTTAGAGACTGGAGCACTGAGGATACTTAAGCATATTCTGCCTGGGAAATGGGGTAAAAAAAAAATCAATATTGATGACGTGGTTCAGTGCACTGTACTGCAATGCTAAAGTCCCATCCCATGGTGAGAGAATGGAGCATTTACATGTGTTATCCATCTCACCTGGTACGTTGATCCCAAGTGGAGGGGAGAAGATAGATGGATATGTAGGAAGATGGATGGAAGTCGTGCATAATCGGTGATTATGTAACTTCATTACATCAGCGAACCTCAGTCAACGATAGTAAGATGAAATGATTGTTTAGGGAGAGACTCCATCACCCTGTTAACTTTTGAAGGCTTGTAGCAGCCAAAAGAGAAGGAGGGCAGACAGAGATGAGCTCCAAGGGTCCTGTAAAGCTTGATCTCTGTGGTGAATTTAGCACGAGTTTTCTCCGATTGAGTTTCTGAGGGACAGCAGATCATATAAGCTTTAGGGCTGGATAGGGACGATTTTAGCCACACCCGTGGAGAGTCAAAAGAAGTCTGCAATATTTCACAAGTGCCCCATTGAACAATTGGGGCTGATGCTGGTCCCAGCCAAGGTCATAGTTCTAGTGCCTGTGATTGAAAACTCATGTCCCTAACTGCGTGGAAAGTTGAATCTTTTAAAATGAACACTGGGAATAGAACTGTTTAGGGTCCCCTTGCTCGAATTTTTCCAGGTAAGGCTTGATGCTGATTTCAGTCTGGTGGTTCCCTTGTGAAAAATGATGATTGCTTCTATAGTGTGTTAGAAATAAGTGTTCCATACCTTTATCTTTGCCATGACAACCTCTTTCTGTGCCATTTTAACCCTCAGGGAAAAGTTAACACCTTCAAAGGTAATATATACTCTTTAATTAAAAATAAATAAATAAATGGCAGTGAATTCATTAGTAATGCAGCTCCCAGAATAAAAGAGCAATCCATTTCAAGTGTTACTTACTGAATGGCTTGAAAGACATGTTACAGCCACCACGACTTTTTAACAGGAGACGAGAGAGAGAAATGCACTGTGGTCTCTGTACATAGGCGGGAATACTGCAGAAGAAAATGCCATTTTCCCTGATGCTTCATTTAGAGCTGTGAGTTTTAAAGAAGATACACATCACCTGCTTTTTTTTTTTTTTTTGGCCTTTCTACTGTATGAGAATCTATTCCCCTTGAACACCTTATGTATCCACCCCCCCCAAAAAAAAAATGAAACTCCACTGAAATTCTAACCCTGTTGAATTGAATCATCTTAGCATGTAGTTTTGTTATCTCCTAGTTCTCTTTACATTTGTTGTTTCAAAGAAAGCTAAATAGCTTTCTTATCAGGGAGATTAAATGGTTCTGTTGTGCTACCCCCCTTTACATCGCCTCATATGCCATTTCCTTACAGTCTTACAGAATCAGAAGTAAGCTCTAGACACCTCCTAAGTTAGGCTGAATTGATAGGCTTACCCCAAATCAGAATAATGGGATGGTGACATGCAGTTTTGAACTCTCATAAGTGAAGTGACTTTCTGATTTTTTCATAGGACATGCCAAAACACTGATAGACCCGTGCCAGTAAATTTGGAGGTTTGGTGTTCATATTGTGTAGGAAATTGGATGTGAAGTTAACTCCTGATTCCTTCCTTCAGGGGTCAGGGTAACACTACAGCTGCTTCCAGGCTGTTAGTCTCCAACTATGTGCAGAAATATAGTCTGCCATGATCTTTCCTGTACCCCTTACTTTAATATTTTAGAAAGGACTTCCTCAGTTTTTCTTTCACGTTAGCCACACATATGTGGGCAATACAGGGTATATTCTGGAGGCTTTATAAGCACAGGGGGAGATAGAAATAATACTAGAAAAGATAAGAAGTAGTCTGTTAAAAGGGGGGGAGACCAATACCATGAAATATACATATACATCAAATTGTTATCCTTCACCTGTATTCTGTATATAGTCACATTAGAAAAAAATTTATATCATCATTTTAATGGCACTTTATAACCTGTTACTTTCTTTAGGAAGAAGATTATGTAACCATGGCAGGTTATGGCATTTTTCTTAAGTCTCCTACAAATCAGTAATAAAAAGCTTTGCTTAATAGAAAAGCATTTAAAACATGAATGCAGTGAATAATTTACATTATAATGCCTACTCATCTATTTTATTGCCATTCTGACAGCCCATGCCCTGTCGTTAAATTGGAAGATATTTGAGGAAAAGAAAAAAGAAAACACTTATAAATATGGAAGCTATCCTGACCAGTTGCTTCAGCAGGGTCAAGTGATTTAGCTGTTAAGTAACCATGCTGTTTCTAACAGTGGAGAAAAATGTAAATGGAATTTTTACGATGCTTGTGATATGTATGAATAAGTCAGGGTAAAATGACTAAAAGAGAAAATATTCTTAGGAGCAACTGAATTGAAGAATTTACCCCAGATTTAGATTTCTGTATCTTTTAGACGGCTTCGCACTGACATGACTGGGTTATAGTTTGTCTTAAAGCAGATAAAAATCTTCAGTGTTTAGAAAATGTCCTGTTTCTATAAAACAGACTAATTTGTGGCAGTCAGAGCATCTAAGTGTTGATTAATAAGACATAAAAGTAGCAAGTTTTCGGATGATGCTCAAGTTCGAAAGCATTAATTATAATGGCACCATTTGGGCAACTATAGATAAGGTAGTGTCAGCATTTTTATGATTAAATTCCAGTGCTGTTCCCATTAGTTGTATCAGGAATCTCAGAAAACAAATCCAGCTCTCTAAGATGTCAAGACATCGGAGAATGCTAGGCTGAAACAAAGAGCCTGAGTTAGATTTCACCTTGTCAGCTCCTTGTGACCTCTGACACCTTATTTAACCTCTTCATGTTTGAAGAATTATTTGCAAAAAGACTAGATCTGTGTTACTTTAAAGAAACAAGATAAAGTGAAGTGCTTACACCACGCTATACCTCAGAAATGTAAGGAATTATTGTTAAGAGCTCCCCTAAGTCTTATGAATTCAGGAGTGCATTTCCCCTCTTGTGCCCTCATTGCAAATCTTCATAGGTATTTTCTAGTATCAGTTACAGTTAGCTGGTAGATAATCTCATTCAGTAATTAAGCAACACATACAAATGCAAAGCTTCCATTGCTAACTATTCATTTTCTTCAGTGGTACTAATATGGGGATGTAGAAATAGCTGCTTTTGAGTTACATTCAAAGTGAGAATCAAGGGTTTTGTGTGTGTGCTATGTATGTGTATGTGTGTTTTAAGCTGGTTGCTCTCTTTAAATGCTTCTGAGTACTTAAGAGTTCCTTTCCCACAACATAAATACATAAACAGACTTGATGTTACCTCTTGAATTGGGTCAAATGACCAAAACCACTATTGTCCTCATTTTTTTTTTAACTGAAGCTCAATGGGTCTGGCTTCCAATCATAATAGAGAATATAAGAATCTAAATATACCAGTTATTTTGTTGAATTTGCTGGTTGCAATAATTACTAATGTTCTTTAGGGGGAGGCAGTCCCCTATGTGTCACCACTAACACTGCATTTCTTCAAATCTTCTTGTATCGGAATAAATATATTTACATAAAAGGAAAAAAGAGATAGTTTAGTGTTAGAACTTTTCATATATGTTTTTAAGTGACTTCTTGGAGAAGCATATTGCAAAGAAAGATTTTGTATTTTGGTTTACCTAGGCTTGGAAAGTAGAAAATTAATCCTGTAATAAATGAATCGATATACATGGACTTGGAATAAAGAACTTTCATGCTATAGACTAACCCCTATTTATTGCCTGTATCTGTTTTTGTTTTATTCTAAATGTTCCTGATGTTTCTCTAGTTTGGGATGAAGTTGCTCATACATAATCTATCCAACCTCATTGATGCATATAAACGGCAAGCATTTTATTGTCCTCCATATTAAAAAAAAAATATATATATATATATACACAAAACACATATATAAAACATATATGTGTGTGTATATATATACATATATACACACACACATGTGTGTGTGTGTGTGTGTATCCTACAGAAATACTTTAGATTTGCTCTAACAGATTTACAA